CAACAATTGTCAGGAGCTGACAGGCATGGCTCTGTCCAGATATCAGAATTCCACTCAGCATTCTTTACTTGTTACAGTACCCTGTGTGGCCCCTGTCTGCATTGGAGTTTCTACCACTGAGCGTGACATCATTTAATTTCTCTAAGCAACTCTGTACTATAGAAATTATTATTCCCAATTTCCAGATGAGAAAACTAAGCTTTAAAGAGAATTAAGGAGCCTTAGAGAGAAATAATGATGCCAGGCACTTCCTGAGTGCTCCCTACGGGCCAGGCTGTGTGCTAAGATCACCCCCATTTTATAGATGGGGAATGTGATGCCACTTGCCTATGGCACAAGAAGGAGATGGCATTTAAACCCAGGTTTGTGTGACACCAGAACCCATGCAATGGAGCTGACCCTTCCCACCACCGCCTCTACCCCCCAACCTGTAGCCCTAACCCTCTGACACCTCCTGCAGGGGCCAGCTTGCAGCTCTCACGTCCTGGCTCCCCGCTTCAGGGGCCAGCCTGCAGCCCCACACAGGCAAGCCTCAGGGGCATGTGCAGACAGCAGAGGCTGCTGCTGGGCCAGAGGGTCAGCAAGTCTGTCCTGGCCAGGCAGGTAGAGGCAGCAACCTTAGGGAGGCCTCCCGGGCCTCCTGGGCCCCACAGAAATAAACCAAGAGACGTGATGAACTGCTCGAGCACGGGGATCCAATAAGGCCCAAGACTCCATACCCAGGAATAAGAAAGCCAATTACTTTGGGAAAGGTCTCCTTTACAACAAGGAAAATACCCCGGTCTCGCATGAAATCACACATTGCTGCTTCCTCCCTGCACACATCCCCCAGATTCAGCTCCCTTTGGAATATATATATATATATATATATATATATATATATATATATATATATATACATTTTTTTGTACAGAAATGTTAAATTCTCAAGATTAAGTATCTTCAGTTGGGGAAAATCAATTTACTTCTTTGAGGAGGCTGGAATTGAAAGTCGTGAGGCTGAAACTTACTTTCTTGCCAATTTTACTGATAAAAAAAGTCTCTTCATCCTGGCACGTCGCCCTGAATTGACTGCTCCAAACGATTCCATTAATTGATTTGAGTGACTGGCCCTGAAGCAATGCTTATTAAGGTTCCCACGGGAGCTGGGACAGGCGGGATGACTCAGGAGCCATAGGATGTGAGACTCCGTTCCCTGGGATGGTGACTACAGCTCAGGCCAGTGATGGGCACTCAGGCCTCTGATGACCAGGTCCAGGGAGATGAGAGAGGGACCCGAGACCCCAGGAGGGGCCCTCACTGTATCCCTCCCTGCCTCAGACATGCCAGAGGGAAGCTTTTCAGGGTTATGCCTCGAATCACCCAAGGACAGGAAAGAACTTAAGGGGAACAGAGATCATGAGTGGATATGTTTGAGAATGGGAGCCCCATGATACAGGACAAGTACAGTGGATGGTCATTCTGGGAAGCAGATTTCAGAGCCATCCGCCTAAACGTGACAGAGGTAGTGGATTTGACACTGGAGCTGGCAGAGAAAAACCTCTTGAAATCATCATTATAGCCAGCTTCATGCTGTATTGTCACCTCTCATCTTTACTGGCCCAAGCTCTCTGGTATTCTTTCCCATCTACGTCATTCTGGGCCTTTACCACTGGAGGCTTTCATGTGTCTTTCCTCAAAGCCTATGGGCCTCAACACTCCCTCCAGCCCCCACCGGAAATTTCTGTCTCTATTGATGTTGTAGTGTTACTGGAAAGAGCCTATGTTTTGATGTCAGGCAGGCCTATGCATAGGAGGGATCAGGGTGTCGGACGGGGGGGGTGGTGAGGATGCAGAGAGGAGTTTGCCGAAAGAGAAGTCCTTACCCTGTTCTGAGACAGGAGTGGGACAGGGCTCCCCGAATGGTGCATTGTTGAGTTACTTTTGCCAGGTCTCTACATTTTACCAGTGACTGACTATGTGCATAGGAGATTAAGTGGGTAAGATGGGTGAGGTGGAGAGGTGAATGGATGGCTGCGTGATGGACAGATGGATAAGAGGATGGATAGATAGTTGGAGGGATGGATGGATGGATGGATGGATGGATGGATGGATGGATAGGTAAAAGTCTAGGTGGATGGTCGGATGGTTAGTTGAATGAGTTAGTGTGTAGATAGTGTGTGGGTCAGTAGGTGAGAACATGAACATGGTGAATAAGGGGAGGATGGATGGATGGATGGATTGCATGCATGCATTAGAGGTGCAAGAGGAGCCCTGATGGCTTCATCAACCCCTGGTTCCCAGCTCTGGTAGAAGAAGGAGAATTTGGAAAGCAGGAGAGACTGGGATGGAAGGAGCTGAGGTGCTGGAGCCACTGATGGGAGAATATAGTATTTAGTTACAACAGGAGGGCAGAGTATCTGAGGAGCGTGTATACCTGGTCCAATCAACAGGGATGATTGGGCTTGGATAAGCTGATTAGAGGAACAGTTAGAATTGATTATCTGAAAAAGCAACTATACTGGAAACAGAAGTCACTTGTGTGAGTATATGTGTAAGAGATAGCTATCTATGGCTGCGTAACAAATTACACAAAACTTTGTGTCTTAAAAAAACAACAACACTATGATCTCACAGTCTGTGGGTCAGGAATTAGCGCAGCTTTACTGGGTTCTCTGCACAGTCTCTCCAGGCTGCATTCAAGGTGTTGGCTAATTATTACAGTCACCTCAGGGCTCCACTTCCAAGCTCATCCACCTGGCTCTTGGTGGGATGCAGTTCTCTGCTGACTGTTGGCTGGAGGCTGCCCTCCATTCCTTACCATGTGGGCCTCTTCATGGGGTGACTCAGTATGACAGCCAGCTTCCTTCCAGGTCACAAGTGAGAATGAGTGCAAACAAGACAATAGTCCAGCCTCATGTAGCCTAATCTCCAGAGTGACATCCCTTCACTACTGGGGGGAGTAAAAGGAAGTCTCTATGTCCAGCCCACATGCAGGGATTACACAGACATGCGTCCCAGGAACGGGTATCTCTGGAGTCGTGTAGAAGCTTCCTACCACAGAGCATCTGTGCAGGGAAAGTAACAGAGTGAGAAAGGACCTGAGGGATAAAAGAAGCTGGAAAGGAGGTGTGGAGAGAGTCTGGCTATCAGAAATTATCTAGAAAATAAGAAATGCCTGGGGAGTCAGACGAGCTGGAAATTGGGGATATTTTTAAGGGCAACAGTAGCTAGCAGGGAAGGGGGCATCCGGGCTGCAGGAAACGCTGAGGTGGAGGAATAGCTGGGAGGATGGACTAGCTAGAGAGCACAGAAGGTTTGGAGCTAAGAGTTGCAGAGGTGAGAGAGTAACTGTGGAGGTGGCGTAGCTGGAGAGCAGGAACTGCTGAAAATAGGACAGGCTGAGAACTAAGGAGCTTGGAGCAGCCTGCTTACTGCTCTGGTGGAACCCATTGAAGCTCCAGGCACCTGAGCCCTTCGAGGCCTTTGGCTTTTGGGGCAGATAAATTTGCCGGTGGGGGAGGGGCTACTTGTCTGTGAAGGTGCCCCCAAAGGAGCCATCACTGGTCTTGACAGATTCTGGGCTTAGACGGAATTCCAAGCGGGGTCCCGCCTGCTGTTTTGGGCCCCCCCTCTTCCCCCCGGTATGCCTGGGTCTCCAGGAGCCAGTTTCAGAGGGGACAGTCCTTATAGAGCTAGGAAGCACCTGGAGAGGAGAAAGTACACTTTCTTCCCAGCCTCCCCCCACTCCCAGTTCTTTGACTCCTGGCAGACACAGCTTCTTCCCCATCCCCCATCCCTGCACCAGCTTGTGCGAGCACACCCATGCCATCACGCACACCGGAGCTGGGCCGGGTGCCAGTCAGACAGGCTGACATCACAGACAGGCACAGCCAGACTTGGAAACTGCCGGGTACAATGGGGCCTGCAGAGCCACCTGCTCCCCTGGGATCAGCGGGGGCAGGACCAATCCCTGCTGGGAGCAGGCAGCTGGCAGGCACTCCATTCCCAAGAAATCTTATGAACTCCGTGCACCCTGGGTTTCCCAGTCTCCTCAGCAGCAGGGGGCATTTGGTGTCAGCCCCCTCTCCCAGCCCCAGCACCCTCTCTGATCTCCCAGGCCAGGCCAGGCGGGGCACACACACAGCAGCCCACCCACCAGGCCTGTTCTGAGGGATGCTGGTTCCATTCATGCAGCCACATCTAGCTCAGGATATTCTGGGAACATGGGGGTAGGGGGCATGCAGACACCTGTTCTGCCTGCCCCCACTCTGCAATTCTCACCCTGCTCCTCTTTCACTGCAGTGAAGTAGAGCCAATAGGAACCCTCACCTCAGACAAAACCTTCACCTGAGACACAGTATCTAAGAGGGGCCCGCTTTGGTTGAAGTGAGATAGGGAGCCCAGAGCCTACTGAGCTTTGCGCTCGTTGGCATCCACCTCTCCCTCTCTTCTCCCACAGAGGTTTCTGTAAGGCAGTGCTGCTCAGTGGTTAGAAACATGGACTCTGGAGCCAGACAGCCTGGGTTTGAAGCCTGGCTTTGCCACTTAGTATTTGAGTGACCTTAGGCAAGTTACTTAGCCATGCCTCAGTTTTCCCATCTGTAAAATGGGGCTAACATACCTGCCGCCTATGATTGCCATGAAGACTCAATGAGTAAATGCAGGTAAAGCACATAGAACAGGGCCTGCGCATGTAATTGTTTAATAAATATTAGAGAAAGAAAATTAATTTTTTAAAAGTCAGGGTGAAAAAACCCCTTGTGCCATGGCCAAGAGCCAAGTGTTTCCAGGTAGGTGGGCCTGAGTCTGAAGTTCGGCTTTATCCGTCACCAGCTGTGTATTTTGAGACCTACCTGCCCAGGGCCTCCATGTCTGTGTCTGAGCAATGGGTGGCACCCCCTCACTCTGAGGACTCTAGCCAGAGCTCCAAGCCCCGAGGCCTGTTAGGCGGGGCGAGCACGGCTTGGTCCCTGGTGTGCTCAGTAACTGTGTGTGCACCCCCTCCCCTCCTGGCCCAGAAATCCAAGATCTCCACCTTCGAGAAGATGTGGGCCTTCATGAGCAGCAAGCCCTCGGCGCTGGTGAAGAACAACGAGGAGGGAATCCAGAGGACGCTGACGGCAGACTACGCGCTGCTCATGGAGTCCACCACCATCGAGTACGTCACCCAGAGGAACTGCAACCTCACCCAGATCGGGGGCCTCATCGACTCCAAGGGCTACGGCATTGGCACGCCCATGGGTGAGTGAGGGGCTGCAGGTGGGGGGCTGGGGGAGGCTCCCCCGTCCACTCCCACACACAGTCTCCTGCTCCTTCTCCCAGCTCATCCCACGGAGCCTAGAAAGGTGGCAGTCCCTCAGCCCAGAGACAAAGGGGTGGAGCCACGTACCCTGCGAGTTCAGCCCTGGCCTAAGCTGAGAGCCGAGGCAAACACTCAGGTGGGGGTCAGTTCAGAGGTCACACCTGCTCCCCCCTGGCCTCACCCCTGTTGATGCAGCCCAGATAGAGCGCGCCTCCCAGGGGTCTGTGCAGACAGGGACTCACAGGCAAGACGCCCCACCCCCAGTCAGGACCTCTCCTCCCACCCACATACTACATATAGATATAAAGAGAGGCAATAAGGTCCCCCTTTTTATGAGCTTACTGAGAGGGCAAGTGATGGTGGCTGGCACCAACCAGGGTGTTGGCAGGGACACACAGGACGGACCGCATGCTGCTGACAGCCGGGGTCCCCTCTCCCCCACTCAGGCTCCCCGTACCGGGACAAGATCACCATCGCCATCCTACAACTGCAGGAGGAGGACAAGCTGCACATCATGAAGGAGAAGTGGTGGCGGGGCAGCGGGTGTCCCGAGGAGGAGAGCAAGGAGGCCAGCGCCCTGGGTATCCAGAAGATCGGGGGCATCTTCATCGTCCTGGCCGCCGGGCTGGTCCTGTCCGTGCTAGTGGCTGTGGGCGAGTTTGTGTACAAGCTCCGGAAAACAGCAGAGCGAGAGCAGGTGAGCCCCACACACGGGCGCCCGCACCGGGAAGGGAGGGAGACGAGCACGGGGTTTGCACTGGTCTCACACCTCTTGTGTGCCAGGCACACGGTGTTGCCTGAGCCCGTCCTCCCCAAAGCCCGCCCTGCGTCTGATCCACCAGGAAGCCTGGCCAGTCCCACCTCTGCACTGACTCTGAGCACACTTTCCCATCATTGTTGCTCCACGCCAGGCCAAGCCCCGTCACCTCCAGCTGGACGTGCGGTAGCCTCCAGTTTGGCCTTCCTGCCTCCACTCTTTGTCTCTACCACCCGCTCTCCATCCACAGCCAGTACCCTGTCTAAAACTTGAGTCGAACCGTTTCATTCCCCCTGCATAAAACCCTCCAGGGTCATTGTTGAAGCAGGGTGATGGTTACATTGGGGTTCATTATATTTCTGCATATATTTGGAAATTTCCATAATCAAAAGTTTAAAAAAGAAAAGGGTTAAGAGGTCCAGCCCAAGCGTTCAGATGGGAGAAGTAGACTCAATCTGACTGATTAATGCAAGTGTGGCTGGGCAGTGGTTCTGGGTCCTGGTAGGAAATTAGAATCACAAGGAGAGAGTGTTTTTAAGTGCTAATATCCTGGCCTCACTCCTGGAGACTCTATTTTAATTGGTCTGTGGTGGAGCCTGGCAGTGGCATCTTAAGCAAGTGTATGGGGTGGTTTCAGCATGCACCTGGGCTGAGGGCCACTGGGCTGGGGGAAGCGCCTCTCAGAGAAGTTCAAAGCAACACAGGGCCAGTGTGGATTAAGTCTCATGTACAGGGGATCATGAGAAACAGACAGCTTTTCCAGCCATCAAAAATGAAATGGAGCTTTTTATAACCAGCAAGCCTGAGTCAGCAATACACCCAATGGAAGTGGCCAAGGACATGTGTGGTTTTATTTACAGAGATGTTCATTGAAGTGTTAATTAGCACATGAAAAAAATAGGAACAAACCTAAATGACCAATAATAAGGAATGGCTAAAACAATTATGATACATTTAAAAAAATTCTCTAGGAATTCCTCTTACAATAGAATGAGCTCCAAATTCCAACAGAAAGCCTACAGACCTGGTCTTTGCCCACCCTCCCCTCCCTTATTCTTCTTCACACACACCAGCCTCCCTTCTAGCCCTTAACACACCAAGCACGTTTCAGCCCCAGGGCCTTTGCACACGCTGATCCATCCCCCTGCAGTGCTCTTCCCCCAGAGTGCCATATTCTTCCAACCCCTCTCTATCCTGTTGCACCGTCTTATTCTCTTGCTAATAGTTATCACTCTCTGAAATTCTTTGTTCACATGGTTATTACCTGTTTCTATCCCATCATTAGACCATAAGCTCCCTGAGGGCTGGGACCTTATCTGTCATTTTCACTGCTGTGTGCCTAACACCTGGAATAGTGCCTGACACATAACAGGAGCTCAGTAAATACTTTTGAATGGAGAAAGGGAGGTGAGGAGGGATAATGTTTTGTGTTTAGTGGGTGAACAAGGTGAAACTTGGGGAGGTCACATGGCGGGTAAGAGGCAGAGCCAGAATTCAAAGCCGGGTTCCATTCCCTTGTACCACACAGCGTGTGTCCAAGCAGTCTGGGTGCTGATGTCCTGGCCTCATTGGGTAAACTGAGGCATCAACAGCCCCCACTGCCTTCCAAACAAGCTGCAGGACACCCTCTGCCATCAGATACCTGCAGGCAGTGCTGCACTGCTGCTGTTCCTCTCGGGGACTCACAGGGACCCAGGCCGCTGCAACTCAGCTTCCCTGCAGGGACCTGCCTCCATGTTGCCCAACCTGAGAAACATGCGCTGGACTTTTCTGAGTGGAAGCACAGTGACTCTCCCCTGAGTTGGAAGCCCTCCCAGGAGAGGGGTCATCCACACATTCAGCAAGTGTTTCTTAAACCCTGACGCTGGGCCAGACTAGTGCTGGCTGGCGGCTAGGCGCAACAGGGAGGAAACAGAATCTAGTGGAGAGAAATCAGACAAGTAAACTCCTCAAACTTTAATGTGCATGCCAGTCAGAGCCTCAGTTTGCTCATCTGTAAAATGGAAATGATACTGCCTACCTTAGTCTCCAAACAAGAACGTGATACGCTGTAGGCTCCTATACAAACTAATCATCTGGGAGGGGACCGAGGGTGGGTGGGGTGAGGGGATGGGAGAGACCAGCTGGCCTTAGCACGGGCTTGGGAGGAAGGGCAGGAGTTGGCTGGAGCTGCAGGGTCAGGCCTCACCCATGTGCCCCTTTCCCTCCCACCCCCCACCCTAGCGTTCCTTCTGCAGCACCGTAGCCGACGAGATCCGTTTCTCCCTTACCTGCCAGCGTCGGGTCAAGCACAAGCCTCAGCCTCCCATGATGGTTAAGACTGACGCCGTCATCAACATGCACACATTCAATGATCGCCGGCTTCCAGGCAAGGACAGCATGACCTGCAGCACATCATTGGCCCCCGTATTCCCCTAGGCACTGGTAGGGTAGGGACCGCAGGCCTGGGGGCATGGCGGAGGAAAGCAAAGGAGGCTGGAAGGAACGTCCCCTGTTCCTGCGCTGGGCTTGGGCACCAGAGCTGCTGCCTGCCTGTTGGGCCAGGAGCCGTCTGCCCTTACCTACCAGAAAACCAGCAGGCCCCCAGGCCAGCTGCTTGGGCTTCACTCTCCTCTTGTTTCTTCTATGGGTTTCTAAAGCTGCCAGCCAAGACAGCCAAGGCCAAAGGAAGCACATGCCTCTCTCAGGCCAAACTCACTTGCCCCTCAACTCTCCTCTACAGTCAGAAGTCTCTACCATGGCCCTGCAGAGGCCAAAGAAAATAGGCAAACAGCTCTATTGCCACTCCTTCCCCATGAGCCCAGGTCTCCTGGGGCTTGACGATGAGACCAGAGACACAAACCTTGGGCATCTTAAGGATGTTATAGTTTGGCTTCCAGTGGGAGCTGGAGATGGAGGATGGCCACCCCACGTGCCTGGGCAGAAGGAACATTGCATCCCCCAGGGGCTGCTCATGTAGTCCTGAACTCCTGGACCTGGCACCACCCATGGCAGCCCCTGTTCTGGCAAACTTGAAGTCAGAGAGCCGCAAAGGTGAAAAGAGGAGTTTGGGGTCTGAGAGAGAAGAGAATGCACAGAGGCCGCCATTTTGAATTCTTACAGACAATGTCAAATGGCTCCCACTTCTCTAGGAGTATAACGTGGGCATGTGGTTGGAACATAGTCTTCTCCACTTTCTGGCCAGAGGATAGAGGACTCCCTGAATCTCTCACAAAGGATGCCCAGAGACTTGGCCAATATTTGAAGCCCAGAGGAACAATGGATTCCATGGAAATCCCACAGGCCCTCAAGCCATTGGATCTTACTTTGCTGGTCACCAAGCTGTTTTCTAAATCATTAGGGAGCTTGGGCTCTTTGCCATCTACTCATCAGCAACTCCCCATTCCTGGCCAGTTGACCTTGATCTGCTCTGTCATCTTGGAAGAAGAGTAGCCTTGATTAAAGTGAAAGTCAAGTCACCCCTCCTTGAAAGAGGGGTCCGGGCCTTACTGCACAGGCTAATTTTGGGGTAGACAGGGAAAGCCAGAGGGGCCCTGAAGAACTCCTGGCCTCCTGGACTTGCCAAACCTAAAGATATCCCCCAGAAAAAGAAAGTTTTTAGGAGCAGAATATCGTGGCTGGTAGAGGACCCAAGGGTTGGAAGAGAGAAGCTGCCTCCTGGAGAATTAACCAAAGACCCCGTACAGAGACAGAAGGCCATCCTGGCCCCTGGTCTCTTGTCCAGAGCAGCTGGAACCTTGTGGGGTTTGGGGGTACAGCAGAGAAGTAGTGGCAGATGGGGTAGCAGGGAGAAGTAGACCAGATGACCTGTGGGTTCCAGCTAGTGGTGATAGATGCTCTAGAGGCCTGTGGCTTTAAGATTCTGGAGCAGAATGACACATGGAAGGGTTAGGAGCAAAGTGTCCTTAAAGAGAACATGATGGGGCCAGCAGAGCTTCCCATGGCCAAGGGCAGAGGGTAGTCTTTGAGCAGGGAAAGGGGGCTGGAGATTCTGGACAGAGACCCAGAAACACCAGCCACCCTCCTCCCCTTTCTCTCCTGTTTCTGCTTGGGGAGCCTGATTAGGGAAGAGCTCTATTTTAGGTCTCAAGGATCTTCTCAGCTGGGGTGAAGGGTAAACTCTTAGCTCCCCCAGGGACTCCCAAAGCAAGAGAGCACAGTGGGCTCATGTGATAAGTACTGTCCCCCCTCCAAGCTGAGCTGCAGGACCAAACCAGCTTGTTCCCAGAATCACAGCAGCTCCAACAGGCTGTGTGCGCTGGAGGTGGAGGAAGAGGGCCAGACATGCAGCATAGCCGACACATGTAACGATAGGAAAAGCCATGCTGGTGTGAGCTTCTGGGTGCAGGAGTGTGTGCTGTGTGCATAGATGTCTGTGTCTTTGTTTGTGTGAACTTTGGGGGCTGGAGGAGAAGGACAAATTTGGATGTTGACAGAGTCCAGGGCATGCAATAATAGAATCCTTTGGGTTCTGAGGTATGTGTGTGTGCGTTGTGTGTAAATTGGGGATGAGGGAGATAACTCTGGACAAGGAGCAGAGCCCCATACATGTAAAAACAGGAAAAGCCATGTCATAATGGGGTTCTGGTGAGTATATGTATGTATACATGCATGCATGAGTGTGTGTGTGTGTGTGTGTGCACATTTGTGCACCAAATGGCAGAGGGTAGAGGACAGGATAAAACCTGCAGCATTGCCAAATATATTTAAAAGGAGAAGCCATGTCATCAAGGGATGCACGTGTGAGCATATGTACACGTGTGTGTGTGTGTGGGCATGTGTGTGCAGCAGAGACCCGGAGGGAGGACAGAACTAGCCAGACGTGCAGCACAGGTCAGTGCATGTCATATGTGAGAAGCCATGTGGAACTGGAATTTGTGAAAGTGTGTGTGTGTGCTCACATACATGTGTTCAAATGCACACATATGTTCCTGCTCACTACAGGAGAAGAGACGGACAATCAGGAAGGCAGGGAACCAGGGTCTGTTTGCACTTCTGCTGTGGGGAGAGATCATCGGTCACAGAGATTTGCCAAGATTATCTCAGCATAGGTGCGGGGAGACTGGCCAAGTTGGGCAAAACACTTCAGGGACTCATGGCTGGTGGCTCCTTTGCTCTAGGCAGAGTGCCCTGTTTGAAAGGAAAACGACCTATTTTTGCAATTTCCAGAGAACAGGATTCTCATGAAGGTATTTGCCCATTTGCTCTCACCAGCCACAGATATTAACCACTGTCTTTCTTTATCCAGTATAATTTCTTAGCACATGCCTACATCCATGCTCATGTCACACACACGTGTGTGCTTTTGTGTATAATGCTCCATGAACATGTCGTGCTCTTCTGAGGCTATGCACATAGTCAGACTGTGATGGGAGAGAGAAACAGAAGTGGGATGGGGTAGGAAGATTTCATCAAAGGAGTGAAGAGTGGCTATCAGAGGTACAATTCAGATAGGGAAGTCCCCCAAGTGTACGGAAATGATTTTTCGGCTCCTAAATGGAAATGGATTACATGCTGCCTGATCTCCCCTCCCATGTGAGCCTTATGTCCATACGTGTGGCTAATGTTCAACTTCTGGCTGACATCCTGTGTTTATCTTTGAGACATGCCCAGGGTTCAAAGTGCAGTGGAAACCACTTCTGCCCAAGTGTGAGCTGTGTCCCTCCCAGAGTACTAAAGGTGCTGCTACACCTTGATGTGTGTGTGTTGTGGGGGGGAGGCGGGAGGCGGGGGGGAAAGAAGGTGTGCCCAGCAAAGCAAATCATGTGGAATTAAAGTTTAGGCCCACCTGCCAGGTGGTGTGGACCTGAGCTGCAGTGTGGGTGCACGTACATGGGGTGCACACACAGGTGCTGAGGTCGGAGGCTGGGAGTGACGGGGAGCGTAAAAGCTGGTTTGGATGGAGCAGAAGATGAGACTTGCCTGAACAGCTGCTGGACGGTCCCTGCCTGGCCCCACGTGCAAGCCCTACAACAGAAGAGTGCCCCCACCTTCCACCCCCCATCTCCCACCCCTAAGTGTCAGTGCCTCCTCTCAACCTGCTCAGACTGGCCAAATTGAGGGGCAGCAGTAAGGAGACATACGCGTACCCCAGCAAGGCCCTTGGGCTTTGGGACAGTGAGCTCTCCTTATCTCTTTTTCCCCTGACCTGTTACTGGTCTCTCTATTGTAGATGGATAAGAAAACCCTAAGAGCTTTGTAACGGTTCAGGCGGCCCCACTCTGTGAGTGCCTCTCAAGAGGGATAATTGCCCCCCTTGGCCAGAGTTGCCTCTGGTTTTAAGCAGGCCTCCTCCACTAGCAGCCAAGACACTGCCTCAACTAGAGCAGCACGCTGGCTCCCTCCCTACGCCTGGGCACTGGCAGATGGAAATCCTGGCCTAGGATGGGGGAGGGGCCTGGCAGTGTTGGGTGAAGACTCCAAATGACTAGAAGTCACTCCCCTCCCCACACCCCACTCTCAGAGGGCGGAAGTCAGACCAGGACAGTCAGAAGCTGGTACTGTGTGGGGGTTGGCAGCTGCTTGTTCAACACTCAACATGAAGCTGATCCCTTCCCAAGCCATCCCCAGCTATACGTACCAACATCTGCAACTCTGGCCCACATCTGGAATGGTCCTGTGTGGAGTGCCATGTGGGAAAGGCCTAGCTCTGGTCACACAGCTGTATGGACTTCATATCTGGGATAGGCCCAGACCCCTAGAGCGATAACAAAACAAAAAAAAAACAAAAAATGAGCCCAACCCTGTAGACAGGCCTCTGGAGTAGACACATCTGGAGCAGTCTCCCAAGTTAGTTGGACACACCCATAATGGGCCCAGCTGCTTGCCACAGCGGAAGGGTCCTGCCCTCTGTCCCCATGCCAGTTTGAATCAAGCCTTCATTTCAGTCCTGCATTTGCCCTGGAGTTAAAATTTCAGAGCTGAGGCCATACATGAAGTCACAAAACTGTTTTTGGTAGAAGGTGAATGTTCTGTACAATATATATATGAATGTAAAAAGATATATATATATATGCTGTATATATATATATATATGCACAGTGTATATATGACCTGTAGCCCATGTGTATACGTACCCCTCCTCGCACGTCTGCACACAGAGTGTACATAACCCAGCCAGTATGGGTGGGGACCAGGTGAGAGATGGGGGCTGCAGCAGGAAAGTCTGGGATGGAGGCTGCCTGGGGCAGGGGCTGCAGAGAGCTCCGTGGGCATGGGGAAGGCACTGCATACACCAGGGCTACAGACCCTGAGGAAGAGGGCGGAACCAGGAAAGCTGACAGAGAGGCCCTTGCACAGCCAGTGTCCCCTGGGGAAGGGCAGGAGTGACAAAGGAGCCTCGTCTCCATCTGGGATTGTCTAAAGCCAGACAGCAAGGCCTGTATCTGGGGAGCAATGTCACACCAGCACTTGGCTCCTGAGGCCTACTCTAATACCTGTCTGTACAATAGCCAGGTAGATATGAGGCTCCACCTGGCATACCCTAAAAGCCTGGAGTATTGAAGGTGGCAAAGGCCTTTGCCTCAGATCCTCACCCACACACGACGGCACAGCTCACAGCTAGGGGAAAACACTTTTTAAAGGGACTGGCCCTGAGGACATTGCCAGCATGCCGATATGATGCCCCAATGCCCAGTTATTCCCCCTACCCTCATCCCCTGCCTTCCAGAACAGACCTCGAATCACCCTGCAGTGTGTCTCTACAGATCAAAACGCTGAGGCCGCTGGTACAGGGAAGCAACTGTAGACCCAGTAATGCCAGCCAAGAGTTTGTCCCACTTCAGACGACCTCCCCAGCCCCATGTGACCCAGAGGCCAGCTGTCAAGAGAATGACCAAGGAGCCAGAGATAGGAGCAGAGCAGCGACACGGGTGAAAGATGAGAGGCCAACTGGGCACTTCCTGCCCTAGCACAGCCCATGCCATTTGTCTGCCTCCTCTCCCCTGCAGTATGTCTAACAGCAGTTGGCAGAGGGCCTACCGCAGAACCCAGACCTCCGTTCCTGCCCCTCCCGGATCAGTCTGTTCTTTACAATTGTAACCCTTTAGCTAGTGGTCCTGCCCGGTCATGAGTCAGAGCATCTCTGGAGCATACAGGCAAGAAAAGATCTGTAGTGGGTTTCAGTGTGGTCAGCAACCTGCCCTCAGCAGCCCCATGCGTCAGGCTGGTCTGCACTTAACTCTGGGTCTGCCACAGGGGCCCTGGACAGAGCACATCTGAACCCAGCTCCCTGAGGAGGGGCCTGTCACTGTGCTCCAAACCCCCACCCCATCTCTGCCTGTACTGACTTCCTGGCTGGGCCTCCCGTGATGGGGACTTGGGTTCCCAGCCCCTGGGTTGAGCCCCCAGCCAGCACCATGCGAGACCCCTGGCCTGTCCCACCACCCAGACCAGAGTGCCTGGACGCCCCCTGCTCCCACACAACATGGTTCCCACACATTGGTCTCTGGGCCATTCAGGGGATGCCCTTTGTGGACATGCAGAATTTCTATGAATATAGTTTTTTGTAAACATTTTGTAACAATTTGGGTTTCATAGTAACTGTGTTACTTGCCAATCATTCTAGGCTAATGTAAATAAATTTCCAAACAAATCCAATTATTTTCCTTTCTAAGACACTGTGATATATCAAAGTGCACAGTTTGCTGTATGAAGTAATATGGTTTTAAATTTTAAATAAAGAAATGTTTCTAGAAAACAGGGCACACTTGAGATGTGTTTTCCGCTCCTTGTCCCTCCTTAAAAGCAGAGGGTGCTGGGCAGTCGCGTTGCACCATCTTCACCCAGGGCTGACTGTGTGTCCCAGGAAAGAGACCCTGGGGATGAGCAGCTGGGTGGTCCAGCTCAGGCTCCTGTCTCCCCTTTCAGATACGGAGTATCTGTCCTTGACAACACCTGACCTCTGTCTTCCCTTCTCATGGGCATGTCCCTCCCCAACTCCTCTCCATCCACATAGCTACCTATGTCTTTATGTGACTCTGTCCCATTGGCCAGAGTTGGGGAGGATGGGTGGGCCTCTTATCCAAGTTTGGCCAATCAGAGACCTCACCTGAGCTTTTTAAAACTGGAAATGAGAAAACTCTAAGAAGGCTGCTCTCAGGAGATGGAAACTGTACATGTAATAAAGGGTTCAGAGCAGAACATGATAAGCAGGGAGGGACTGAACACAGATGTTTACCAACCAATGAAGAGACGAAGAAGCAAGGCCAAGCTGGGCCTCCCGTGGCTCCCACAACAACACAAAACTGACCCACCAGGGCAGTGGCCATCTCTGAAACTGGTACTAGAACTGTGAGGCAAAAACACACTCAAGAACTACAACCCAGGGCTCAGGAAGCCTAG